CAGTCGATGCCATGAGTGTTAGTCATTCGAATTTAGCGTTCACCAGAACCGGCGATAACAGTCGCGTGTGACGAAAGCATGATGCCTTAAGCATTCTCGTGCCAAAAGTCAAATTCGCCTACTACTACTATATAATACACCGTGTATTATACACGCGATTTCAAACCTTTTCCCCAAGAAGACACCTGGTTTGAACGAAGTATCGGAGCGTTCTTTGTAATTATCTCTGCTTGCTCGTTGAAAGTTAGTTTATAATTTAATCAAACATTTGAGACCTTTTCTAACATATCATTATTAACTTTTACGTCCAGTATAACCATTTAGACTGGCTGAGTTGATTGAATTCAACAATTTTATATAGAGACAATGTAATTTTTGATCATAATTTCTCTTTCGACTGTTTCGAATGCTCGTTTAAGGTCCAGAAACACTGCCATTACAATTGCCCGTCTTCCATGCCTATTTTCCAGTGTCGTTGATCACGTACTTGATTGTTGACTCACACGAGTGATTTGCGCGGAACGCTGATTGATAAAGTGACAGTAATGCGTTTGATTCAATGTAGTCAACAATTTGGTCTTTGATGATAGTTTCGCGTTGATAACAATAACATTTCTTAAGATGCAAGCCATTAACCCAGTCAATTTATACTTTACTCATCGCCAAAATATGTCACCATAATAAAAACGTAAATCATCACTTGCCATTGAAAAATTTTCATTAAATAATCGTCCAATAGATTATGCGCCAGCATCTCTACTACAATATCTCTCTTTTGCCGTTTGTTCCGTTGATAATTTGAGTAGTTTTTTGTTGCTACAATTTTACTTTTACTTTTTCGCAGGCCCATGTCGTGGACTGCGTAAAAGTATTGCATTTGGCTCAAATTTTAAGACGTCCCAAAAATATGATTTCTATCTGTTTTCGAGGCCGTAGAACACGAAAAAATGGGTTTTAGAGCGATGTTTTGTGAGTCTGTTCCACGTCGTACGTTGTACGCAAATTTTTTAATGTAATTTGTTAACACGATAGCTCAACGACCAGTCGAGATAAATGAGATCTGGTGATGGCAAAAGTTTGGGCTTGTTTAGACTTAGAAACCATTAGATTTTCACCCACTTCAGATATAGCCTAGGATAACCTAGCCTATGGCCAACCTTTGAAAATCCCTGAAAATTCATACTTTTCTATGGAATATACCTGAAATAGCCCCCCTACATGGTTTTCATCATATCAAACTGCTATTATTTCATCAAAATATTGAGAATTAGAGAGCAAGATTATATCATTTTCCCATGATTTCAGTATCAAATTCGAATTTGTAGGTGAAAATATTGAAAATTTCCGAAATGGTCAGACTTTGCGTACAAAATCGGTCATAGCTCACAAACTAACCACCTTATAAAGATTATTGGCAACTATATATCACTTAATTTTTTATGAAGAATCGATTTCCAGTTCAATCGACCGTATCTGAAGTCTCAATGGGGTCAAAAATGCAATTGTTCGCGGTGATATTTTCAACTCGCAATATTTTAATAACAGAGCTATTTGAATAACATAATATTTATTTCTCTACGGCTTTGGTATCATTTCCACATTTTCGTTCCAAATCCCTTGGAAAATACCACTTTTGTATGAAAGTTAAAAGAAACGTTTGAATTTATTTTAATCCAACATTTGAGCATTTTTCCAAAAGCCGTGATGCGATAATTTCTAAATATCACTAGTTTTGAAGGGTATTTTAATATTAAGAAATAATTTTTTTATTCATCGATATCTAAATTTTATACGAATGAATACAAACATGACTTTCATTTGAAAGATCTGATTTTAAATCAAACCATTTGAAATAGTTCTGTATGTTTTGATAAATTATTTGTAATTTTATTTATTATTTGGATTGATTGTGAAACAGATCACTGAATATAGAGAGTATTTGGATCCCACTGCGAAAAAGTTCGTCTTACTACGGTAAGACCATTTATTTCTGTTGAAAAACCACTGACATCGCATTAAAAAAAACTTCTTGCGAAGTCACCGAGTAATATCAATGTTAGAATATTTGAAATTCCATTTTTGTTTTCTTCTAACCAGTTTCTGAATAACTCCGTAATGATTACGAAAGAATGTACGGAACTGATTTCGGGAGAAATCAATGTGTCCAAAACGCATAAATACGGCATCGCATAAGGCTAACTGCCTATAATATCGCGCGATAATTTTCTGCTTGCGTTGCCGCAGTATACGATATTTCAATAGCCGTCTTACGACGCACGTTCGAATTGCTTTACACATATAACGAAGCGAACGCAAGCGAGCGTCGCAAGATGACGGCCATTGAAATATCGTATACTGCGGCAACGCAAGCAGAAAAATTTCGCGCGATATTTATGCGATAACTGCCTTATGCGATGCCGTATTCATGTGTTTTGGACACATTGGAAGAAATCCCGTGTGCAACTGGCCAATTTGATTAAAATCAAATATTCTGTATAAAGATTATCACGCTTAGTTATTCTTTCAGTCAATCGATTAATTTGGGACATTTTGACTGACTGACTGTAAGTGATTGTATCGAACAAAATAAACAACCGTAGTTAACTTTAATCTAATGAAAAGAATTACATTCGTAATCCCAATTTTTTCCGTACTATTGTCCCTACTTTTAGTTTTTTTTCTTCAATTTTCTTGAAATAAATATTTAGTAAAAAAAATCGGTCATTTTAGTCGAAATTTCGACAATTTTGTATGGAAGGTACCCGTAAATCGATTCCGATTGGCTTCAAACTTTCTGGGGTTTCATTTTATAGAGAAAAAATAAGGTTCTATCAATGCCGATCGGAATCGGGTACCTCCCATACAAAAATGTCATTTTTTTTAGCTTTTTCTTAAAGGGCAAGTCGAAAATGGTCAAATCGAAAATGGCTCATCTTCGAACTTAAACTAAGTTTTTTGGATACAAATATTCACTGTGCCGAATGAGAGTTTTCGTTCGATTTGGGTTGCGTGGTAAAGTGATTTGGTGCTAACAAACTTATGACAAAAGACTTACTTCTAAAAAATGCTTGCATTTTTGACCATTCATTCATTGGGGCAATAAAACGCTTCAAATATTTTGTTGACTAAATTGAGAAGACTGTGATGGACGACTTCACCAAAAGTGATAAAGTTTGTATTATCGAGATACCGAGTGTCTTATTAAAGTGTTGCAAACACCGATCTTCATGTTTCGAGTGAAATGGATGATAATTTCGGCCCATAGTAGCATTTCAGCATAAATATAGTGAAAAAAAAAAACGAAATTTCAGTAAATAATAATTCGTCTCTGTGTGCATTATCACTCTCGTCGCGTTCGTCACTGTGAGCGTACGTTATACATTCAAGCGCAGACTTATATATGTAGAGTTTCACACTCAAGCCGAGTGAATGTGCGCGCGAAAGAGTAGAGAACGAATATGAGATGTACAAAGTCGTATCTAATCACAGCGAAATTTATGCTGAAATTATTCTCTGATTTCGGGTCTTCAACGCAACTTCAACATCTCTTTTATTGAGTTTGAATAAGCAGGCTTGTACTTTCAGAAAATCAAAATCATTTTGCACGTAAGTTGCTTTTTTTAGATATCCTGTTTGAGTACAAAAATGTCTATCATTTATAATATCCTTTGAAATGATGGCATTTTCAAAAACTTGGCTGTAAGTAGCTGATAATCTTTGTTTTTCCTCTTAGATTCCAATGTTAACAATTGAACGGAAACGATTTGTTGAGCCTCAATCGGAGATTTTTAAAGAAAAACGATCCACGACACTTAATAGATGCCAATCACATAGTATGTTACACATACACAATCGGTCTTAATCGGTAAGTTTGTCGGTCAATGTGAATTTTCATATTTGCGCTATCATTTCATTTCCACAGAAAAAATTGAGTCGATCACATTTTTCTTAATGAATCATATCCATTTCTATCAAAGTGCTTTACAATTCTATACGTTACAAAATTCCATTCGGTCAACTCATGACAAAATGCGTACCAGAAAGTTTCTGGGTATGAATTTTCTGTTCTCTCTTATGAAGAGAGACCAATAAACTTGGAAAATTTCATCGATTTATGTTAGCATATCTATGATGACTGAATAGCCAATAGCTGCTGCTGTAGCATCTCATCTCAGTATAAAAAATATGATGTTTCAGGTGAGCACTGTAGCATCGCTACTGCATTTTCGTAATAACACTATCAGCTTCAGTTAAAGGAATAAAGCCGAAAACGTTTTCTTAATCAAGACATATTCTCCACCAATAAGTTCCATTGTTTTTTTAATGATCGATCAAAGATGGGTTAGATTCTATCGGAAATATCCTATCTACTTTGGTAATTGTCTCAATTCAGTATTGAGACAATCCATAAAACATTTAAGCGTCCTGGAAGAACAGCTGAGTTCTTTACTTGACTAAAAATCGAATAACGATTACGATTCATCAATCCAATGTTATGACTTCTCATGCTGGATTCGATATCAGTTGGAAACAACTTTCTCGCATGAATCACATTAGTGTACGGACGACTGTTAAAATAGCGGTGTTCATATTCGTAGGAAATTTGATTCATAAAATTACACATTGTACATTGCGTATACGAAAACAGCTTCCGCTCCCTATTATGACTGTATCAAGCGACGGGTGAAATCGAATAAATTACGGTTGCTCGATGCGAGGAAGTCAGTCTGTTGTGGACCGCGCATAAAAACACTTGTTGACTTTGGTCTATTTAACAATTTTAAAATAATTTCTACGATATTTGAGCAAACGAAATGAAATATTGAGCAATTCTCGTGCAAATTCTAAAATAAAAAATAAACTCTTAAAAACTTGTAACTTTATCTTTGTGAAATAAAAAAAACATACAATTTTGAAAAATGTCACTTCGATCGTATGTATTTGATTCAATCCCGGTGAAACTTTCACTCTTTGCATGTGCTTTGTTCTTATCGATTCAGCCGAGCACATGTTTTGCTATTGATTCTCACGCGAAATCAATTCGATCCAAACGTGAAATACATCCAAAATATAGTTGTGATTGTACTACGAATACTGTAATTATTGCGCTTTTTCTTATGAAGAGTTTCACTTTTTGAGTTCCAATTCTGATTTGTTTTTCAAATTTTGTAATGAAACGTTTTACTTTTTGTTCACAAATCAAATTCAATAATTTCATAACATAATAGTAATATCCCGTGTGAAAAATTTGTGACTGACTATCCAGCCGCCTAATTTCGGACTTTTTGGCGGACCAAAAGTGATTATCTCGAACAAAATATTCGACTGTAGTCAATTTCAGTTATCTAGTAGCCAAAAAGTCGGAAATTAGACGACTGGCTGAAAGAATAACTAAAAGTGATTGTTTCTATACAACATTTTTGAATTCAATCAACTAAGCCAGTTTTAGTTATTTGCAGCTGTATACAACTGAGTGACTGTCAGTCACTTTTTTTGCACACGGGATGTTACTCGATAATTAAACAAAACCACATTAGGCTCAATAAAATATTCAATTTTCTGCTCTGTGTCTTCGTTTCGAATAGGTAAATTATTTAGAGGAGTTCGGCTTAAATGGCAGTAGTTACACAGCTGACGAGCTAAGTAGCTTGGATAGTGGTGATTTAAGTGCCATTCTCAAACCGATGCAGTCCTATGCCGAGCTAGAAACAACGGGCAATTTCAGCGACGAGACGTGTAATTTTGTAAGCCGAAGATGGCAGATTAAAAATAAAATTCTGACCTGGAGGTAAGACTACAAATTTTAAGAAGATTCGTTGTGATTCATATAATAAAATTTCATCATTTTTTCCTGATTTAGTCATTTTACTTAAAGTATCGTAATAAGTAATCCATTTCTATTCTGAATCAATTTCCTTGCAGACATAACCCAACGATGTTCTTCAATAAAAAAATGAACCTAGACATTCAATATGTGCAAAAGAATTTGGAAGATGCCAACAACATAACGCAAAAGAAGACATATTTTACGTTGATTGAAGCGAAAGGCGAAAATTCAGACATTCAATTTAGCTTCGTTGACTCAACGTATGTATTTTCTGATGATTTTTTCCCCAACCAAATTCAATCGAGAGTCAAATAATAATTTACTTCGAAACGAATTGATTTATAGTTTATCAAAACCAATCGGTCATCTGCCAAAAATATTTAAATCGATTTTTTTTTGTTCATTTTATCGCTAAATGTATTTATGATTTTCTTTAAATGTGTTTACAATACAATAAGACACAACTTTGATGATTAATAATTTTATAATTTCCATTAGAAATAAAACTTGTAACTCAACAATCGGTGGAAAAGAATTGACATATAATGGGGGCACAACAATCGGTTGTGCCTATTTGCCAGGATATACAGGTAAACATGGTGGTCTTGTGGAACTTTACGGACCGAACTGGGGCGATGATGGGCTAAACATAGGTGAAGCAGCTGAACAAGCGGTAAGAAATTTGGAAAACAAAATAAGTGTTTTAAGCAAAAAAAGTCCTAGTGATCACAAATGCATAATTGAATTTCTTTTGAAATCATTTATTAAGAAAATGAGATTAATTTCAGCTTAAAACTCATCTTATGCCATCGAATTCATAAACTCAAAAGGCAATATTTTCCAAATATTTTGAAAATTTATTTGATTTTTGCAGTTTCGCATCTTACTGGATATTGGTTCTAAAAATATTGAAAAAGTGTATAACTTCAATAAAACGAGCAACCACGTGTAGAGCTACGTTCACATGATCTGCTGAGGACTAAGACTTGATGATCAACGCTTTGATCAATGATCATGCTTGCTGCCATTTTAATCCGCAAACTTAAATCGATTCAATCTTATCTTAAGAATCTCAGGACGTTAAAATTGTTAAGGAAAACCATAAATTATTTGTGCCATAATTATTTACTGTATAAGAATTTTAGACTGTTATTTATTTGTTATTAGCTCTCTTTGATATAGTATTATAGTAGTAATTTATTGCAATACAAAAGTTCAAAGTTGTGAAATATAAGCAAAGATAAGAGAGGCTGTCAAATCTTAATTTAATAAAACGAATTACATACGTAATCCAAACTTTTCCGCTCCGCAGAAATTTAGTTTACCTCCCGCTTAATGATTAACCAAAATTTCAATGGATCCTTTTTTCATAGCATTTTTGACCTTAAAATATAACTATTTCGACCATTTTCCATACAAAAGTGTCATTTTCGAACAAAATTTCAAACATTTCAAGAAATGTTGATTTCGGACCAAATTTATGGGCAAGTAGGTGTTCGGTTGTTTGAAGGCTCCCATTATTTTTGCAAAAAAACATCAGTTTGCTTTGACCAAAACCCTGAAAAATTGTTTTCTGTGTGATTTTTCATACAAAAGTCTATTTTTCGAGGAAAATTTCAAGAAATGTCGATTTTGGACCAAATTTATGGGCAAGCAGGTGTTCGGTTGTTCACTGACTCCCATTATTTTTGCAAAAAAACATCAGTTTGCTTTGACCAAAACCCTAAAAATAGCTTTCTGAGTGATTTTTTATACAAAAGTCTATTTTTCGAGGAAAATTTCAAGAAATGTGGATTTTGGACCAAATTTATGGGCAAGTAGGTGTTCGGTTGTTTGAAAGCTCCCATTATTTTTGCAAAAAAACATCAGTCTACTTTGACCAAAACCCTAAAAAATGGCTTTCTGAGTGATTTTTCATACAAAAGTCTATTTTTCGAGGAATATTTCAAGAAATGTCGATTTTGGACCAAATTTATGGGCAAGTAGGTGTTTGGTTGTTCACAGACTTCCATTATTTTTGCAAAAAAATGGCAGTTTGCCTTGATCGAAACCCCGAAAAATGCATTTTTCGGGTACTTCCCGTACAAAAGTGTAATTTTTCAAGGTTTTTCAGGTCCCCAGTCGGAGGCTCATGGTACGAAATTGGTAAAACAGAATGGGCTCAAAATCAATCCGAAGCTTTGCCTCAACATGCCAAAAGTTTTGGCTTTTACAGATCTCAATTATCTTGTCAACTTTTTGAGATAATCGGCGGACAAAAAGCTCGGACGCGAACGCGGACGCGAACGACGCCATACGCACATCGCTATTTTGCACATATTTCATAGTAAACAACATGTTTTTGGGGATAGATAGGTCTTGATCGATAGGATTTGATCCCATCTACATTGCCTAGTGTACAGATATGTGCTTTTTCAAGTTTGGCGTGACGTTATAGTGGTCCGAAAGTGGAGATGTCATGAAATTTTGGCTAGTAAAACCAATACTTTTCCTAACAAACAAGTTTGCGGAAAAGTAAAAAGACTTTCAAATGAATTGAATAAAACGAAGTATTTGTATAAAATTTGCTCAAATACTTTGAATGTGAAATCACTCAAGTTTTGATCGATAGGCTGACATTGGTGTCTATCGGGCAGTGAACTGGTTGATCTTTATTTGAACTGGGTTTGATGCGTTGAAACAATTTTACATTCGTTTCTTTCGAGGTCTTTAAGCCTAAAAAAATTGGAACATTTTCTAAACAACATTTACGACGATATTTGGGCTGAAATAATGGTTGTTGTGGTTACAATTTATAAAAAAAACTGACTTGAATGTATGATTTTCCAATCCTTCTGCAGATATAAGACTATTTCTCCTCCGGAATGTTGTTGTTCTTCGTTGAATCGAGATCTTCTGTCCAAAATATTGTTCTATCACGGTACGTATAACACAGAAAAGTGCATCGTTCGACGTCTCCATTTTTCGTTGCCGTTATCGGTGTCAACGGTTGGAATTGTTCGATGTGCTCCTTAAATTCTTTCATGTGCTCTTTGATTGAGTGTTTAATCCTGAAAGTAGAGCTTTGAACATGATTTTCCTTCGTTCAGTTATTCAAAGCTTTCTTTCTAAAAGTGTTCGAAATTACTTCATTATGTTTAACGATGGTTTTGGGCTGAAGTAACTGGATCGGTAATACAGTTCAAGCTTTCAACCGAACGTTGTGAACTAGCATAATTGTGAACTAACATTAACAGCATATTTTTCATCATTTTTATCAAATAAATTATTTTTTTCAACAAACTCAATTCTCGAGCCGAAAGCGAAAATAAAACTTGTGATATCAATTTTGAAAAACTACTTCGGAGCGATGTAAAAATTAGTTGGAAGAAATCAAAATCTAGGCGAATTGAAATCGCTCCGAAACGATTTTTCAACATTGATATCAAAAGTTTTGTTTTCGCTTTTGGCACGAGATTTGACATTGGAAAAAGTTTTTTCATTTGATTGAGGAGTATGAAACTCCCCGGTTCTTGAGTGAACCAGGCAATCGTGATGCTGGTGGTAATTGCCTTGAAAGCCATCTCATTTTTGAAATCCGATAAATTAAGCCTTTAATTTTTTTTCGTTCATTCAGAATGATTTTCAAACGATCGAATTAAAAGGGCTGCTCTGGCTGTTTTGAGTTGTTCTGATTTTCTCTTTTAAAAAAATTAATCTCGATGTTTTTGATGAAAAATAATGTGTAAAATCAATCGTAAATTGTGGTTTGTTCAGAGTTTCGGACTTCTCAATCAATAAAACTTCATTCACCTTTGAAAAAGCCTCTTTCACTTCATGGATGATTTTGATTTGTGAATGCTCTAATTTGCGAAAGTCTACGCTTAAGTTAATTGAATAGGGTTTAAAAAGTGGTTTTATCTAAAGGTAATATTTTTTTCGTTTCTTGTTGGCATCAGTAGTGACGAGAAAGGACCGAGGAAGGAATGCAAATACAACGTACAAATAGTGCAACATGCATATGACACCCAAGAACAACTTATGGGCTCTTTATCTATAACTGACACGGGAAAAAACTTAGAGCAAAAAAGAGACAAATAAAGTTACAAGGAAAAGTGACACAACTCAGCATTGAGCGGAATAGAAGTTTTTTGCATTTTTCTCGCTACTGGAATGAGAAAGCGACTAGGTGTCTTCAGCTTATTTGTAGTTCTTTTTATTTTCTACAATAATGCTGAAGACACAGTTATAGACAAAGATATTATAAGTACTTTTGTTCTATGGGTGTCATATATGAGTAGTTTGGAGCGAAAATGTATTTATTTAAAGAAATCCGGATTTTTCCGGATATTCTGCTCACAAACTCCGGACATTTTTTCGAATTCCGTACAAAAATTCGGGATATTTCGTGAAAATCCAATGGGAGGTCTACCCGTGTGAAAAAGAAATGACTGACTGACTATAACTTCAGTTGACTTTAGTTGATTGAATTTATATTTTTGTTCTAAGAAAATCACTTGGTCCCAAATGAAGCAACTTAGATTGACTTGTAACTTCAAATGATTTCAGTTAACTATGATAGACTTACACTTTGTACTGAAATGTCAATCAAAGTAAGTCATTTTTGTCCCAAATTAGTTAACTGACTGCTCAGTTACTATTTTTTCACACGGGTACGTATACATAATGTATTACATATTCAAAGTATTTTATCAACACACGATTATAATCAAGAAAGTAGACTCTCTGCAGCGCCGTCGATTAGTGACGGCGAAATTGCCTGTAAATAGCTGGAAGTGATTTCGACAAATTGCGAAATACTGCATAATAACACCGATTAGTACTGAATTTTGTCATCATAAATCGACGGCGCTGCAGAATGTCTTGACACAAATTTTCTATGAGATTATAAGCGTGTGTTTATCAATAACTTATCTGTATAATTTTATTTTTGGTTTTGTTGAAAAATTGTAATTTTTCATATTTTTAATCTTGCAAGCCTGGTTCATTTAAAGAAAAATTTATTTGAATCTCAATTTTTACAGCTTTATTTGGTTGGGTTTATTCAACGGAAATGAGTCAATGCTCAATACTGTACGAGCACCGTTATCAAATTATTTACATTTTATCACAATGCCATTCGTGAGTATTTTTTCTTACATTTTTTCTCTATTCTAATAGTAATTCTGAAGGTAACGATTCAGATTATTTTTTGCATTTGGATATCTGAACATAGTGTTGGCCGTCGAACACTTTCGAACGCTTGTTCGTTCGTTCGACATGGTTTTAAAAAAAGGTTTTGTTCGTTCGTTCGACAATTTAAAAAAAATATTTTTTGTTCGTTCGTTCGTTCGACAATTTGAAAAAATATTTTTTTGTTCGTTCGTTCGTTCGACATTCATTTTGTTCGATGTTCGGTCCGATCAAAATTTTTTTACATCAGAAAATTCGATGTATTGATCAAATTTATAATGTAATCGTTACAGCTAATGCTTTTATTAGCTTTTATTATAATTTTTCATAGTAATACCAATTTTATTCGGGAGATTTTGAAATAAAAAAACTTTGTTCGGACCGAACATCGAACAAAATGAATGTCGAACGAACGAACGAACAAAAAAATATTTTTTAAAATTGTCGAACGAACGAACAAAAAATATTTTTTTTAAATTGTCGAAGGAACGAACGAACAAAAAATATTTTTTCAAATTGTCGAACAAACGAACGAACGTTCGAAGCCATCACTATCTGAACAGCATTTCATGGAAATATTATTAATATTTGTATATATCGTATTACACGTTCAATTCAACTTGACATAATGCGCCGTTTTATATGTTTATCGATTTTGAGTTGCTTGTTTGTCGTTGAGTTGAATCTAAATCAACTTATCTTCAACTATAGTTTAAGAAAAATGGAATTGTATAAAATGAGTATTTTTGTTCGGATTCATAATCGGGTTTTAAGGTAAAAAAACGGTGATTTTTTATCATCGCTTCAAACAATTTTATAGAGAATTCAATTGATTTGATGAAGCTTAAGCTCAATGCAACACAATGCCATTGTCACCGGCTGCAATTATATAATAATTATGATTACGACTGAATTTGCCTCAATATATCGATCAATTGCAATGGAATTTTCGTCTTCTAGCAAACTTGAATATTTTATCATGACTTTCATTCGATCGTCTTCAATTTTGATCACCATAAAATTGTTCTTATCTCCATTTTGATCCATTGATTATTGCGATCCTAAGTGCCGGCAGCCGAAGTAGTTAAAGTGGTTTCAGGTGATGGTGTTCATGTCCACGAAATGGCTACACTTGTTATATACTTGATGATGGTTTTATAAAAGCGGGCTAGAATTTAATAAAATATATTGACGTTGTGAAACTTAAGTATAAATCGCAGATCTAGGACAAAACTTACCTCTGTATTCACGGTTTGTTGTAGTTTCAATTATAGTACTTTATTCGATCGATGTCGTTAATTCTGACTGAAAACAAAAAAAAAATCCATTTGAATTACATCCCATTTTTCAGTCGCTTTTCAATTGAATTCTCACCATTACTTGTTCGTGAATTCTATGAAATCTATCTCAATTATGTCCCCATCCTCGTAATCAATTTTTGGCGATCCATATAGTTTTTGAATTTGCCGAATATCGTCATCGTGAATTTTCTGTCCATTTTCATGGTACATTATTGTACTTGCGGTATTGAGACCCAATGCACGACCAATCTATATCAGAAAAAACATAAAATAATGACAGAGTTTAAAAAAAGAACGAAAAATATATTCAACTGTATACGAACCTCATACAGCGCTGTTGACATCAAATCAATACCTGTTGAATAAAATATTCACTAATCAACCACATAATTATTTCTTGTACTGATGAATGAATCTTTTCATTTTTTGCTATCTTAGATTCTTTTTTTCATAATTTAATTTGAAATTGAATTGATGTTAGAAGAAATTTTTTCAAAAATATTGCTAATTTGGATAGCTTTTAATGGAAAATATCGTAGAATGAATTTACCATTTGTTGAATGTTCTTTTTCGTTAAACAATATCCAATTTTCTCCATCCAGAAAATGTATGTCGCCTGCACGGTGCGAGCTTGGAGGAAATGAATGTGATTTTTGGTAGCGTTCAGGTCCAAAATGCAAAGAACAAGCATGGAAGTTTCTAAAAAATTCAATTTCATTAAAATTGATGACAGAAAATTTACCACTTTGAAATGCGTCTCAACCTGCAGCAACTCACAATCTGCAGCCACACCTCCTACATGCATATAATGAATGCATAGAAGTCTTTATAAAAAGAAATAGATAAAAACGCTTACTTCTCAAATGAAACATGAAAATCAGCTACCGCACAGTCGGCTTCATCGAATGTCAAAGTTGATTCATCTGACCAAATGCTGAACGCCTTATTCAAAACCTGTTTCACATCATTAACATTCGTGTTTTTTATCCAACGATTCCTCAGACTGAAAATGGATTAGAAATTAAATGAGCATAATACAAAAAACATATAATTAGAAATGTCTATAAATTGATCTAAGTTCTTATGAGAAACTTGAAATATTGTGTAAAAATACTACTCTTGAGTAGATATTTTAATTAAGCGATGCGTGTTCCTTAAAATGCATTTAAAAAACTGGTTCAAAATTTTACAAAGGAGCATATCGTTGTATCATGTATTTAAAAAAAAATATTTCAGTAAAAACTAACGCTCACCACCAAGTGATGTGATTTTTATTCCATATGTGCTCAGCATCTACAGTAACATATAAATCTTTTTCATTGAAATTAACAATTGGTTTTGCAGACACTTCTATCTGTGTTGATTGAAGTAATATACCGGCAACCAGTAAACACTTCACAAAATACGGTTCGATAATATGTCTTGGTAGTGACATCTTTTTCAAAAAAATTTCAAGCACAAAATTTTACTTTTTCTCCAGTTGTAATCGTTCGCGTTGGGAATATATCCTTCACTGAATTGAGCATGCTCTGGGCGTATTTATACCAAATCTCAAACTCCAAAAAAAAAAAAATTCAAGCGGTTGACTGAATTCGGAGATTATCGACAGAAGAAAAAAAAACCAACTTACCCTGTGCGTAAATGGCGATTTGTTATCGAAAAAAATATGGGTAAATTCTTATATAAATTTTTATTTTATCGAATGGTACGCGTGTAAAATTTTTCTTACATTTTTATCAAAAAAAAAAATAAAATTATCGCTTGAAAATTGAGGTCGTTGTTCTATGGAAAACAAATGAGTGTATACTTTATCGAAGCGAATTCCTTAATTAATTTCTTAATTTTTCATTATAATATTTCTTCGAGAAGTTTTTTACGATAAAAAAAATTATATCCATGGAATATTTTCAACATTATTGTGAATTCAGATTGAATTTATCATTATGATAATTTATGTTGGCTGTATGTATTTAGTAACATAGCATGTAAATAGTCGCTCTAATGTTTAAATCGTCAAAATTTTATTGCCGTCACGCTCATTGGTTTCATTCGAGAATGCAAGAGTTCATTTTGAATCAATCAATACGGTAACCTTACTATCTCCGTTCACATTGAACCGTTCCGCTGACATTGATCACATTCCAGTCGTTATGTTTGATGTTCAAGTTCAATTCTTCCGATGGTTCCATCAGATCAAATTGCAATTTGCGTAACACTTTGCAATCATTCATGAGATCGATGGCTACGTTGTCTGTGATATAGCATCGTTGAAATGTGAGTTCTGTGAGATTGAGTTCTTGGCCAAGTGTTGTCACATCGGAGTCGCTGAGTTCAATTTCATTCCAGCTGGGTGCGGTGATGCTCAATTTGGTCAGATGTTTATTCCGGATGATAAAGTTGATAAAACCATCTTCATAACCCCCATTAGCCACAATATCCAGCTCTTTTAGCTGATCAAATTTCATTGGTATATCAATGAATGGGTCACAGTCCGTTGTCAGCTTCACCTTCTGAACATGCTTGAAATTGATCAATTTGTCGCCAGTGAATTGGCCGAACAAAATGACCAACTGCAAATGTTGTAAATTCGGAATCAATTCGTTGATGGAATGAAGTAATTCTGTGTTGACATGTGACATCAAGTACAAACGGGACAGTTGTTGATTGAAGCACAAAGCTGTCAAGATATTTTTTTGTGTGAATCCCTTGTAGTTGACTTCCAACGCCAAGTGTTCCAAACCCGGAATGTGTTGTTCGATGAAGCTTGGATTGACCGCGGTATTTTTCAGCAGCTCTAAACGGGTCAGACATGGAAAGATCCGGTAGAACTCATCCGTATCAAATGGGAGCTTGCAATTTTGCATGGAAAGGTAACGAACTTCACGGAATGGTCGCATGAACGCTTCGCTCGAAAAGTGTTGACAATTTTCGATGGTGAGCTCAACCAGTGAACTGGAGCAAAATTCATTGATTTGGGCTTGTACCCCGTCGTTGAAGAAGCGCTCGATGGGGGCCGTGTTGTTGAAGTTGATTGACAGGTTCTTGATGTGACCACCAAAAATAGACAGGAGTTGAGAACACAGATGGTGATCATTCACCTCAATATAGTCGGTTTTGATGGTATGAGTTTTGAAAAAAACACCTTAAAATGAAGAAAATGAAATTGTAAATACAGACATCAGCTGATATCCAAATCTATGATGAATTAAAAATAAAATTACCCATGGCACAACGTTTTCCATTGATTCGGATGGTTTTGTCCTTGTAGAGTCGCGAATACATGTAGCCGGCCGCTTTCAAAAAATTCACATGACTCTCGGCTATGTTCAACAAATCGACGAGATCCAGATGCTGGAAAATCGCTTCTTGACAATCCCCATTTAGATCGATTAACTCGGTGTTGAAGATCATCTCCGAATTTCGGTCGCTGACGGTGCCAATCGATAATTCCAGCTTTTGACGTTTCGGTTCGGGATCTGTTTCACCTTGGTGATTTTCTAGAACGCGCTTCTTCGACATGGTTTCTTCACGAGCTGAACTGAAATGTTTGACGGAAAATAATTGATCGATTAATTTCAATATGTTTGCTTCTTTATGTCAATTGGACACGAATATGTTGTTATAATGGCCACAAAACGAAGTACAACATCAGAAATGTAATTCAACATCAAATTAATTGACTTAAATGTGATCTGCCCATCGGAACCAAATAAAATTCAGTCATTCGATGGATTTTCACTGCATTTTCGTGAGCAAATTATTCACTGCTTTATTAGCAATAGCTTTGTGACATGTTTTTCATGCTGGGAAATTATCAATTTTGTTCAGAGATGCAATTAGATGGTCGGTTCTGATGAAGAAAAATTGCGCCAGTGTTTTATTTTCTTTAAATAACGAAATATTTTGCATTGACTCACTACAACGACAAGAACATTGCCAATAAATGGTGGAATATGAACGTGAAAATGCTGATATAAGAATTATAAACTAAAATCTATTTCCAATGAACAGCAAAATCATTAAATTTGCCTGTGTACGGCAACACACACACTTTTCTAATGCAACGCGTCATAAACATCAAACATGAATTTGCATGGCTAGACGACACTGTTTTGTAAACATTCACTTAATACAGAGAAATGTTGGCAAAAGTATTTTTGACAGACGAATATATTTGATGACCAAAATTCTGAATAAATGTTCAAACACTCACCAAAATGAAATTTTCTTTGAACCTTCAAGAAGCTCAACTTCCAGAATTGTTTACCACAATTGAAAATTTCGTCAATTCCTTTTTTGTGTGATATCGGCAAATGGACAATGCGTGCTCAAACCTGTTCCAACAATAAATGACATTTCGAAATGTGCACCATTCAAAGTCAATATGTGCATTGTGCACCAACCAATAGAATTGAAATGATTCATCGACGACTGTTTGGTGGCAACTTCGTTCTTATTTGATTGGTGAGAAATCAACGTTGATATTTTTTTTAAATTGGGTTATGAAAAATATTTTCAAATTCCAATGTCTCAGAAGCGATATTTTTGTCCAATATTTTGTCAAGCGTTTTTATTTATTTCAATTCTCATACAATTTCGGCCTGAAGTAATTTATTCTATGTTGTTACATTCGAACGTACATCAATAATCATAATCATTCAATAGCCCGAAATGTCACTCACCACAGGATCGAACACAAACATTGAGTCACGTTCATGTTGCGCTATGTGTACATACTTCACAAACACACAGCAGTGCACATTGCATACATTTCGTGAACACACAGACGCTTCACACAGCAGACAAATTCATTGTGGAAACATACCAACTCGTTTCATCTTGAAATACACATCCGAATCGTAATAACATCGTTCAATGAGGAAGCTGTCACTTGTGAATAAAATATACAACAGAAAAGGTATACAATTTGTTGTTCGCCCATTCTTCACTCGAATACTTGACATTGAACTTTATTTTCTTTACTTTTCAAGAAAAAAATGGTCTTTTACGTGTTTTAAAAGGACATAATTTTTGAAAGAGTTACAATTTTCCAACTAATTAAGAAATTGCCATATTTTTCTACATAGTTCATCTCCATCCGACCACCAACAGCCAACTTTGACCTGACGTAGAACAAACGTAAAGGCGATTTTCATTGTGCAATCTTTCGACTTCCACAGCACTGATTGATCTTTGGACTATATTTGCTGATCTGCACCCATTTGGTTCAACGTGATATATTCCAAGTAAGTATTTTTTATTTAATTTCGGTAAAGTTTGCCCAAAAGTCGTTGAAAGGCCATTAGATTTGTTTTAGATTATTTTATAGACGTATTTTTTAATTTATTCAAATCATATTTTTAATAAATTCAAACCTTGTTTGTGTCAAACTTTGTGCATGAACAATATTGTTCCTTTTCCAAATGTTCTTCATTAAAAAGTAGTTTTTCTTCTATTCAATTCCGTTCAAATTAGGAAACAAAGACGAAGAAACTATTTCCAAACGTTGGTTTTATTCAGCCAACATCAAAACCGTGTCAGCGTGAGTGGCAAAAATCCAATGGCGATGGATCAATTGTCAGAGAAGAAAAAGACAGGCGATGGAAATGTACGAAATTCACCTGCAATCGCTGTTGTTCGCCCCATCCCGTTGGTTCCACATATATTTCAGTTGAATATCGATGGATTTCATGAGGTTTTTGACTTTTTGTCGTTGAAAGATTTGTTGGCGCTGAGTCGAACATGTATATTCATCCATAAGGCGATTGGAGAGTTCTTCCGTTATAGCTACGGTGGTGCTGACGTGGCCTATATACTCGGTGGTATATTTGTTAAGGGTGAACAGCCGTTTCAAATCAATGGACTCGATGAGTACATCCGCAATGTCCATATTTATGACAATGACGATGCCACATTCCCATTCATTGCGTCCAAATGCAAGGCGCTCACACAAATCCGTTTTACACACAGTGTCGCTTTAACACCAGCCAAAGTTGAGATCATCAAGCACACGTTGCGCCAAATCGAAAGCATCCAAATGATTTGCGTCGATGTGAATGAAAGTTTTCGTCTTTTTTTGAAATGTTGCACCAACTTAAAGCGTTTAGCATTGCGTGACTTCAATCCGGAATCCGTTATCATTGGCACCGACAACGAATGGCTGCGTCAAAAGTTTCCGACACTCGTGCATTTGGAATTGGATCTACCGAATGGCAATTCAATCGATGAACTGAAGATATTCTTCGAACAAAATCCAAATGTTCGATCTTTCAGCACAAATTTGGAGTTTCTTTGGAAGAATCGATCATTCATCGAAGCGTCCGAAGTGAAACTGGACGATTTGGCAATTGTTGGCCAGATGAATGACAATGTCTGCGCTCTACTCAATGATTTTCATCGCCAAGGGATTTTCAAAAAGTTACATCTGTACAATACAAGCGCTACGCAAGTGTATGTTGACCTAATCGCCACGTTGGAGGGTCTTGAAAAATTGTTCATCGGTTCAAACAACAGACGACTCAATTTGATGGACTTGTCGAGTCTCAAGGAATTGGCACTGTACACAGCACAAACAGTCTATGCGCCAGCTTTAGCTAGAAGCCTTGTCGGACTCAAGCGGCTTTATATTAGTCAAGCCACCGCTAATGACATACTGCCTTTCATCCAACACTCGGTGCAGCTGAAGAAAATCAAAATTCCCATCTACCACGGTACCGTTCAAGCGGACGCTTGGAATCAAGAACGAAACAAATTATTTGGAGCTTCAAAAGTGGCTGTTTTTGTACCAGAATCGGTGTATTTGACAAATAAATTGACCGCGAAAAAACCAAATTTTGATATGGTTCAAATTAGACGAGCGGAATCATATGATTGGCAACATCATTTTTATTATAAGTAAAATTGGGATCTTTTTTACGATCTCTATGATTAGCACACACGTTCTTAAACGTGAACACACGTTCTTTTGCGCACTCAAGATAAGTGGTTTGACTTGTTTTGACTTCTTATTATTTACTTCTTTTTGATATTTACTCATAAGACAACTTCCAACTTATACAATTTTCAATTTTAGTTCTAATAGATATTCGTCACTTTCCAGAGAAGTGATTAGAAAAGAGAATTTTTGTACGAAATATAAATTCCAATAATAATAACAAAACCTAACGATTGAATCATTAAGGAAATGTATGTCATTTATTATAGATCAATAAAAAACACTGGAAACTGTCTTATTTTCCAATTATCGAATTCTAGATTTTATAACAGCAATCAAGTTAGTGCTTCTGATTGTGATTTTGTTCATTTAATTGATTCAGACTCATTTACTTAATCATTTCCATGGAATAAATGGGATTTGATGGCCAAACATATTGAAAAGTTCACCAATAAAAATCCGTGTTCTAGAACCTACATATTAAATAACCAATCATATTTAAGAAAAAAATCTTTCGAAGTCATTCATCATGACGAAAGCAAAAATCATATCGGAACGATTTGGAATTACTTTTTTCGCTTTAATAATAATAATTTCTGGATCGCTATTTAATGATTTTCCAAAATTGAAACCACTTGTTCTGTCTTTGCTCTCTTCACGTGGAATGACTTCGGAAGATGTTTTTTATTCACCAAAAATCTGAAAAAATTACAAAAATATTTTGTTTTCATTCTAAATATCCATTTGTTTAACGACTCATTTTCAAACTGTATTTCGCCATCGAAACCATATGTCAAACGTAAGCAATTTGAAGTGGACAACCAACTTCACGTCTGTTCTGTTCCATTGCGCATTTTCATTCGGATCAGAGTGCTTTGTCATCGAATCAAAACATTTACCAAAGGTACAAATAATTAGTAATTTTTCCATTTATACTGATTGTGAAGAAACAAATCTCTCATCTGGCATCATTTTCATTGTTGTGCTAACGAAAAATCATTTTTCAGAATTGCAGCTATCGAAGAATTAAATCGAAACAACGAGACGGAAAATGGATATTTTTTTTGATATTGACATGGAGAACAAAACCAAACAAGAAGAGCCAAGCGGTGTACAAGAGGTGCGACATGAGACACAACCATCAAACGAGCATCCAGCTGAAGTGGCTTCGGAATTGCAACCATCAATTTTGAAACTCGATGTCGACTGCTTCGAAGAGCTATTCGATTGGTTATCTCTCCAAGATCTGTATTCCATGGGTCAAACGTGCAAGCATCTGCGTCAAGTGGCTGGCTACGTGTTCCGATCGACATACTCGGGTGCTCAAGTCGAATACAAAAACAGCAACATTTACATTGGCAACGTGGAAATAAATGGCTTCGTTGAGTTCATTGAGAACATTGCGTTCGGCGAAGACAATGCAAACTGGTTCAACTTTGCCAAATCGAACGAGTTCAAGTCGCTGACGCGAATCATGCTCCGAAACATCAAATTCACTGACGAGAAAGTCGCGTGCATCAAGCACATTCTCAACAGAGTGGATACCGTCGAATTAACTCATTGCACAGTTGGTGCCGAGTTCTACGAACGATTTCTTCAATACTGTCACAATATGACGAAACTTGCGGTGGAGGCATTCATGTGGGGAGAGAAGAGTCCAAAAACAGAATCGGAATCAGAATCCGAATCAGAAATGGATTGGGAGGATCATTGTCGCAGACCGTTAGTTGGCACCGACAACAGTTGGTTGCTGCGCAAGTATCCAAAGCTCACATGTTTTGAATTAACAGGTTTGGATTGGGGACAGGAAACAGACGAGCTGGAAATATTTTTCAAAACAAACCCGGGCGTAAGAAATTTTTGGCCGGCGCGTTTTGTTTCGATATGCAATGGACAAATAACACAAACCTACAGCTAGATGATTTGTCCCTTTTGTATGAAAATTTCGAGTCCGGATTGTTCTACCCTTTCAATGAGGTTAGCCTTCCCCATATCAAGCGATTAACTAAACGGTTGCATTTGTGCGATAAGTATGAAGGCTATGTACTTCCCGAATTGGCCGTACCAATCGACAAGTATCAAACATACGGTTCCTACTCATTCAAAGCATTGCCACTGGAGAATTTGCGACAATTGTGCGTGTCATCCATTCGTCAAGTGCATGGGGATATCGAAGTGCTGGCGACCAGACTTAAGAGCCTTGAACGATTGTCAATCAGCGAAACAACTCCTGAACAAATGTTGGCGTTCATCGGTCGTTCATCAAAGTTGAACAGAATCGCAGTGCAAAAGTTCAACAGCAACGATGTCGATCTAGTGAAATGGAACAGAGAACGCGCACAGTTGGCGCGAGCATGCAAGATGACGATTTTCATCGACGAAAATGTATTTCTGGCCGTGAAGTGGTCAACGCAAAAAACGAGCTACAGCTTGGTGGAATTGAAAAGATTCGAATCGTGTGAATCGGATCCAGACTTCAGATCGTACCACCAAAATTTCCGTCGCTAATTTCCACATACAATTTCGGCATGAAGTACGACACTGTAGCTGTAGTTTATATAAAGACTATGCTCATAAACATAGATTAATCTAAAAGAAGATACAAATCAAAAGTTGAATGATAATTATCATTACTTATAAGTGATTCCATTCGATTATCTCTCTCAAAGTTAAGAAAAACTGAAATATAATATTCAATTTTTAAATTTCATAAAAAATATATAAATAAAATTAGCAAAACCATCATTCTATTGGACTAAAATAAAAGCTGAATCCGAATCGTAGCTAAAAATACATCGTTGGTTTTCCTTTGATTATTGATTTTTTCAACTTATTTATGCAATCTTTTACAACACTACTTTTCCAGTGCTCTGTGATATGAGTTTTATGAATGATCTCCGTTTGCGCAGCTGATAACATCCTTTGAAAATGTTGGTCAATTGTAAGTAAGCATAGTCTTAGGACAGATGTACATCTAGAGAGTTTGATTAGCTGATTGGGACAATTTAATGCCATTTCGATTACTTCATTGATGGTATTGATCGAGATAATCATCCATATCAACCATAATTGTCGTTGCGTCATCCGATCCATGTTTCATCGCAAATCTCACAAAGTTAGCCAATGTTTGAAAGATTTCATAGATGATCGACACATCATTACCTTTGTATACGGTTTGTCACCGTAAAGGTGTCAACGGACAAGCACCCTGTCCGTCCGTCCGGACGGGCTAAAAAGACGGACAGTCCGTCCGTTTGACACTTTTATGTCACCGAATGACGCTCGCAGATTTTAGCACATTCTTCAAATTTATCCAATTCTGTTCCATTTCCATATGAGCAATATTTGGTGCCATGCCAAAAACGGATACTTTATAAAAAAAAAATTCAATATTGAAAAAAGAATTCAAAACATGCGCCATTCATGTTCATTACTGGCAGAAATCTCCTTCAACAGCGCCAAACATAGCAAATCAGACATGTCAAAGTCTGTAACTTCAACAACAACAACAATGTTGGTTGCGTTTGCATTGAGCGGGAATGTTTATGTGAAGCTTGTATTGCGTTGACGTTTCGACTGCCTTGGCACACCTTTGAACGTCCAAACACACAGTAGCATTCAAGTGTCTTACTAGAGCTGCGTAACCACATTTATTTATCAGTGAATATTTAATCCAAATGAAACCGTAAAATAAATCCAAATCCATTTTATTATATAGATGGTGTTGTTACATAAAGAAAAGATATAAAACATTCATTGACAGCTAAACTATAACCGTGCTTCGATTGTTCTGTTCGGAGTGTGAAAATCATTGTGTACGCACAAGCACATAGCACGATGAGTGTTGTCACCAACAGTGATGGAATTGCCAGTCGGCGATTGACTCGGCCAACATCGAATGAGGCTCAAATGAATTTATACGATTGCATCGCCTGCCGTCTTCTAAACATCGACGAAAAAGATATGAAAAAACACCATCAAAAGCGACACGCCGACATACCAATCGACCAAAATATCTTCAAACTCGTTGAATTCCATACAATTCAACTAAAGTTTTTCGATTGTGTCATATGCAATGCCAGGGATATAATAGAAAATGACACCAAGAACCATCATTTGAAGCAACACAAGGACATCCCAATTGAACGAAACATTTTCAAACTTTCCACAGTAAGAGAGAAATCCGTACGTAAAGTTGCCAGCTTTGAGCAACGTTTGACGTCTGCGACCAACGAAAGCCTGAACATTGCAGTAAATCGCATACTAGCGACAACATCACGCCACAGCGCCGGACCAATTGCGGATAGCAAAGGTAATTGTTATCTGATCTTTCCCATCTATTGTCTGTTCGTAATAAAATTCTATTTCGATTCAGCCGTTCAGCAAACATTGGACCACTTACATCCAGTAGACAATGAAATGTCCAACGACCCGTCACTGAATTCTGGTGAATCCATTGGCAAATGTGAAGCAAACTCCGGACAAAAAAGTGCCACCATTGAGATTGAAATATTCAAGTGTACGGTGTGTGGTCTAAGTGGTTTATGGAAGAGTCATCTGTGGAAACATCAGAAGAAGCGACACAGAGGTATTTCGCTCAATCAAAATATCTTCGAGTTCATTTACGTCAAAGAAAGGAGAGTGCGCAGTGACGCGAAAGAACCCAAGCAACCGATGACTGCACGTTATATTGATGCATTGAATATGAATCGCGACGATCCGAAGTATGGCAGTACCAGTCAGGATTTATCACCACAGAGTGTGTTGGAGCCAACATCAAGTCAATGCGTGGCTTTCGTACTGCCGAGTTTGCATCGCAGAGGTAATTACTATTTGATCTTTCCAACTTGGCGTCTAATCATTTCTCATAATCAAATGTATTTCAATTTAGCTGTTCAACAAAACATGGGCCAATATCACCCAGCAGCCGACGAAACACCAAATAGCCTGTCACGGAATAAAGAAGTGTCCAATGCTAATTTTGATGCAGAAGTATCAAACAAAGAAGTCAATGACAACATCGAAGTTGAGCTATTCAAGTGTACGGTGTGTGGAACAGGTGGTTTATGGAAAAGTCACTTGTCGAAACATCACCAGAGACAGCACAAAAAAATCCCGCGCGATCAAGACATTTTCGAGCTCACTCATGTCAAACAAAGAAAGAAACCGGTACCACAGTCGGTGAAAAAACTTGCTGCATTGAAAATGAAACATGATGATTTGAAGAATCAAAGTGATCTACTGGCACCTAGTATCCCAGAAGGTCCACGAAAATATGGAAATGCAGAATACATTCAAGTTCGTCGCTACACATGTGTTGCCTGCGATTTAAAAGTGGCCGAATGCCATTTGAAGGCGCATCACAAGAAGGTACATCCCACAGAGCCATACACGGACTTGTACGCGCTGTGCGATTCCGAAGACAAAATTCACTGTTTAACTTGTGACAAGATGATACTACAAGAATTTTTCGAGAGTCACATGCACTTGCGGCACATGCCAAAAACACCAGTCATGGGCGTTGAAGTTAAAATCTTTACTTGCAAACTATGCCACCGGAAAGATATTCAAGAAGAAGACTTGAGTGTTCATCATTCCAGTATGCATCAGAATGTTCCTTTTGATACCAAGAATTTTCGAGAATTCAAACGGGGTCAGTGCATCATTTGCGAGCAACTGTTCAAAAAGAAGAAACTTCGAAACCACGTGAAAATACACTCGGAAATAGCGATTGTCGTCAATGCGCCAATAAGTGACAACCAAAGTGACTCGTCGAAAGAGCACAACAGCGACAGGTGTGAATGGATTGTGTTGAAACCATTCAATTGCAAAATCTGCGGTGTTAAAAGCTTTAAGACGTGTTCGGAAAGTCTTTGCACAAATTCGGACGTACGTAATTTAAATAACAAACACGCAATTTGTAAAATTCTGTTTATGGTCGTTTTCTTTATTCATTAAACTGTCGACAATGACATTTACATTGCACTTAATGGGCCGTTGTCTTCGATTTTTCGCAGTATGTCTCGAACCTTCATCATCATGCTCTGGACGACACATATGTCAATTTCTTTCAACTTTCGTTTGATTCTTCCCGTCAACTGTTGCTCCGTTTTGGCTTCCCAGTCATTCTCGTACACATTGCGCTTGAGAACGGACCAAAAATGTTTGATTGGACTGTGGAGCGTTTGGTGGATTGTCCCTTTTCGGTCCAAATGGGATTTTTTGTTGAGTGAGCCAATTCAACGTTTTTTTCGAGTAATGACTGCATGCAACACGCTCGGGCGTGTTTGTTTTCAATAAACAACTTCAATTTGGGCAAGCATTTGCTGATATAAATGTCAAAATTGATGGCGTGGGCTTTATTTGGCCGAATAACTGGCACTGATACACCTTTCGATGAGATGGCACACCACACCAACACCTCAGGCCCAATTTAATCAGCCAGCATATTTAACACTATCTGGTGTCGCTCTAATGTTATCAGTGTAATAGCCATCATTTCCACTTAATTCATGGTGCGAAAAAGTGAAGTATGATTCATCATCCAAAATGACGTACTTTCCAATTGCAAAGTGTTTGCGCAAATCCAGTTTATACGCCATCACGAATGAATTTTTCTGAATTGTTTGTGTTGACAGTTCATTTGGAGCGCCGTTAAGTCTGCTGTGTGCATTGGATGATTTACGTATTTGTTTATGCATCGTAATAAACGCCTAAATGTAGTGCAAAGACTTTCCGAACACGTCTTAGAGCATACAACAGCAATGATTTCAATCCACCGATTGAGACATGTGCACCGGATCTTTGTGAAACTTGCCGAAAGAAGCAGCCATTGGAAAAGGAGGAGTTGCACGAACAAGCGTCAGAAAAGATTGAACATGATTTTGCTTTGGCACACAAGGAACCTATCAAATACTACCGATGCAAAGACTGCCATTCCAGTGAAATCGCCGAAGATCAGTTCAGCGAACACCATTCCGAAAAACAAGATTCGGCTCATTCAATGTCCCAAGATAATTTTAAATTTATTGGAACCAAGGTGTATGGGCAATGTTCTGTCTGTAGTCAACGTGTCAATGAAGATCAATTCATTGAACATTTGAAACAAGTCCATCTTCCAGCATTGATGTCAATGAAAACTATTCCGTTGAACACCGGCCGATATATAAGCTTAAGAACCACTTGTATCGATGGGCAGAACTCATCAGACTGCGATGATCCGGAGAACAAAAGCGATATTCAGCAAGAGAGTGATGAAATCGAGGCCAATGCGGATAAGCCAAAGGTAAACGACCTATATTCCAAGTTAAATCAAATACTTTTATGAGTTGCTTGCCAATCCTGAGATTTGTTGTTGTGGTTGTTGTTGTTTCTTTCTACACAGCAGACCTGTACGAATGATGTGATGCAGGCTATCCCGGAAAAGCTTAAGGCGATGGCGCAAAAGGTAAAAGTTCAAAGGACTTTGGAATAGTGCACATTTTTCAAATAGCCCAACAATTAACTAAAATTGATTGCTCATTTTGTTGATTCACTCAAAAAATATTCGTCTTTTAAATCTAGGTCCAGAGTATTGAGAAATAAGTTCCCGTTCGACTTTGGCGGAAGATGAATTTGCAATGAGCGACACGATAAACAACCGAAAGCTTGTCTGCAGTATACCAACATTAAATTAAAAATGTACCAAAAACAAATCTATTACAATTTACAAACATTGGTTTGGCGTATATGAGGCAAAAAATACAATCCAAATTTAAGACTATGAACAATAACTTGAAACTATAGTTGGAAAAACGAAAGAAATGAGTTAAAATTGAACGTCACACTGGAAAAATTGCTCTAATTTTTTTTTTGCAAAAAATGTAGTCCAAAAAGTTTTCGTTACAATTTTTTCGAATGTTCACCAAGAAGTAAATCTTCAATTTCATGAAATATTTCTCTTATGGAAATGAAATCCGCAAAGGCTCAAGTTTAATCACACAATATCAAAAATAAAATCAATTCACGCCAATTCGACATAGTTGTGACTTTCAATTCGAGCTTCCAAATCCTAAAAAAACACAATCCTTCCTATTGACGAAAACACAAAATAATACGAGGTGTATTTTGATTGAACATTTTTATTCAATTAATCGATTGTGCACAAATTATGAAAATGGTGGTTAATATTAATAAAAAAAAATAAAATAAAAGCGATCTTCGGCGTTGTTCGAGTGCATTGAATGTGGAACATTCGAGATAACAAAATATTAAATCAAGAGTTCGTTCGTCTTCTGAGATTATCAAAAGACACCTCTTCTTCAATCGAACCTACAAAAACAACTGAATTAAAAAAGGAGTTTGGGCGAACGTAGTTTGAGTCAAATTTTTAATTGTTTCGCAATTGCTACACATTTTGAATAATCCGAATATCAATTTATAAAATCGTGCGATATTGTTCATTTTTTACTTTGATAAAAATTATTACTTTTCCGCACGCCCATGTCGTGTGCAAAATTATTTTAATCACTCCAAAACCTAGGTACCCCAAAAAAACATTTTTCTATCCATTTTCGACACCAAAAAGCACGATACAGTGGTTATTTTGCTATGTTAATGTGGGTGTGTCGTACCCTGTACGCAAAAACCTAGCCTATGAAAAACCTTCAAAAAATCGAGCTTTTGTTCGGGAGGTACCCAAAATAGGCTACCCATGTGGATTTTATCATGCTCACCCGATTTATTTCATCAAAATAATAGGGGCGTAGGAACAACCTAGCACCCGCTAACCCACCTTTTTGGTATTAAATCGGTATGTTAGTTCAAAATTCCTTGAAAAATCGAACTTTTGTTCGGGAGGTACCCAAAATAGGCTCCCCAGGTGGATTTTATCACTCCCTTTTTGGTATTAAATCGGTATAATAATTCAAAATTTCTTGCATTTTTACTTTTCCGTACACAACGTATCAAGGGAAAGTATAGGAATTGGTCCCGAAAACTTTTTTCGCAAAATTAGCTTAGATCATCATAAAAACCCATGAAACGCGTAGAAAACCACTTTTTGAGACACTTTTCCGTTCGTGTGCCGTCGTCGTTGTCGTTGTCGTCGTTGTCGTCGTTGTCGTTGGTGTTTGTTAACACGATAACTAAAAAAATAATTGAGATAATCCAAATCTGAAAGTCCCAAAAGTTTTGTATCCAAAAAACTTAGTTTAAGTTCGAAGATGGGCCTTTTTCAATTCGATCCTGGGGTACTTGCCCCAAGAAAAACCTCAAAAAATTGACACTTTTGTATGGGAGGTACCCGTAAATCGACTCCGATTGGCTTCAAATTTTCTGGGATTTCATTTTTTGGGAGAAAAATAAGATTCTGAAAGTTTGAAATCAATCGGATCGATTTACGGGTACCTCCCATACAAATTTTTCGAAATTTCGACTAAAATTACCGATTTTTGGACAATTTTGTATGGGAGGTACCCGTTAATCGATTCTGATTGGCTTCAAACTTTCTGAGGTTTGATTTTTTGGAGAAAAAATAAGATTCTGAAAGTTTCATCTTGATCGCATTTGCAGAAGTTTGATTTTTTGTCCTCAATTTTGTCGAAATTTTCTTGGAAAAAATTGAGGGCCAAAAACCAAACTTCTGCAAATGCGATCAACATGAAACTTTCAGAATCTTATTTTTTCTTCAAAAAATGAAACTTTAGAAAGTTTGAAGCCAATAGGAATCGGTTTACGGGTACCTCTCATACAAAATTGTCGAAGTTTTAGTTAAAGTGACCGATTTTTCAATTTATTTTCTTTATTATATTTTCACTGCCTTTATTTCAAGAAAATTCACAAAAAATAACCAAAAGTACCTACGGACAACGCAGGCCAACGGTACGGAAAAGTTCGGGATTACCAATGTAATTCTTTTTATTTGAAGTTCAAATCGAAAACTAATAATACCAATATTTAGTGCCTAATATCATTGATGAATAACAAAAATATTGTGTGTCCAAGATGACTACTCTGTGGTACGTTGAATTCATTCGACTCGCTGCTCCTATAATTAACGAACTGTGTTCTGTTTGACAGGCATGATTCAAAATCAATCCAATCAAGAAGATTGTCAATCTGGTGTTGAATGATCTGAGCATTAGCGTTTATATGGATAACAATTTTTCGATTTAACAGCCCCAACCCCAAAAAAAGTTCGAAAAAAAATTGAAAAGCAGAAATGTTCAAAATTAGCGGAGGAATTAGTGCTTTATTAGTGCCACACAAATCCATCGAGTTTAATATGTTTTGTCTTGAAAATCGGGCCGAACCCCCATTTTGAATTTTAGGGGTTGAAATATATTTTGCCAAACAATGTCAAGGGTCATAATTCGACCAAAAGTGAACATATGAACATTCTGAGAGTTGCAATGAGCGGCACTAATTAGGCACTAAATATTAGATTCATTTTTAGGGTGTTTTGACCTTATTTTGACAAAGTTGACATTTTAACCCCCCAAATAAAACAAATGCTTATAACTTTTAAAAAATTCAAGAAAATGTAGGTGATATAGGTATTATTCGTGGGCACCAATTGGGCACTAATTATTGGTACTATTGGGGATGAATTTTCCACCCCTAAAAAATCATCCCCTAAATTCACCTCCTCAGGGGGTGAAAAAATCCCCGAGATATAGTTCTTCTGTGGGCACTAATTAGGCACTAAATATTGGTATTATTAGTTTTCGATTTGAACTTCCCCAGCCGAAAATTTTTTTTCAACCCTTAACCCCTAAACTTCAAAAAATTATTTCTCCCACCCAGGTTGAGCATGAGCACCAATTCTAAAATAAGCGGCACTAATTAGCACTAATTAAGCACTAATTATCCTGAAATTTTCTTTGAAATTTGAAAGATGAACGCTTTGAAAACGGTGCGGAAAAGTTCGCCTTACGGAGGTAAGACTATTTATTTCAGCCTTGAGTACGACAACAATATGACTCTCTTTTGCACGCGACGAATTCAATTTCTCTTAGGAAAAAACGACGACGAATTGAATAAAAAACGATTTACAGTGCATTTGGATTACGTATGTAATTCGTTTTATTTACCTATTGATTTGACTTTGGTCAAAACAACAAATATTGGCTGTGACATTTGAAATATTTCTCTGCTTCGATGTCTGTTGCTCATTGAACATCGCTCAGTCATCATGTGTTTTTTATTCGATTGACAGAATGATCATGATTCCAGACGAAATGTGTTCAACAATATTTGGATTAGTAAAATGAACATTTCGCATGAATCTAACCGACATTTTTGAATTGAACTCAACTGAATACATTCGGCGACGTTGTCAACTGAACGAAATGTCACCAACACAAACAACAAGCGTTTGCGTATCGCAGTATCAATGCTGTTGGATATGCTGAGATTGCCATTGTTCAATGAGTCACACAGTGAAGCAGACATCTTGAAAAATAATACGCAAAAAACCAACAAACATTTTCAGCAGAAAAAAAGCAAAACGTAAGTGTTAGCATTTTTCGCAATTTATTTCAATGTTCGGCCTGAAACTTTTGTTGCGAAAATTATGATTCGATTGGATATTCATGGAAATTGAAGACAATTAATACGAAATGCAAGTCTATGTACGCATTTCATGGTGTGCATTTTTTCTTGGCCACACACGCGACAAACACGTGGTTCGCGTTGTGTCGATTTATTAGCTATTTTTTTTATTTTATATATTTCCCCTGATTCCCAGAAAATGAATCCATTCAAAGGTGTTTCTGGTAGACAACGCAAGCGCAAGTCGAAATCCACAAAGGTCGAAGTTAAGCAAGAGCCTGGTATTAAGGAAGAGCCCAACGAAGGTGACGATGTCATGAACATACCACAGCCGAGAGTTGAGGGAAGATACCGTGTGAATTACAAAGGACCGGTCGATTTTGGGTATGACTTTGATGAGATCAAAGATGAAATGAAATGTGAAGAAGAAGAGACGGGCAAAGAAAAGGACTCGGCACCATGTGAACGATCGAATGACAGCGCCGCCAACAATGATGACAACGAACAGCCTATGGGTGATGCAATCGATTTGCAACCACCGCATCCAGTCAGCAGCGTAAAGAAATGGAATGGAAGCTCCAAAGGACGAAACAAACGAGCGATTCCCAGGAATCAAGTGGCCAAAAAGCAGAAGAAAAACAAATGCCATGTGTGCAATCATTTGGCAAGTTGCAAGTCTCAACTCATAACACACTTACGAATTCACACTGGAGAGAAGCCGTTTCAGTGTGATGTTTGTTCGAAGGCCTTTGCACATAAACATCATTTGAACGGTCGTAAGAAAACGCATGGCCAATTTCGTTGTTCAAAATGTAATTGTGGATTTGAACAAAAATCAGTTAAGATCGAACATGAGAGGGTATGTAACCCCAGTCGATTCGAATGCGATATTTGCGGATATCACACTGTGGTGAAATCACATTTGACAGTTCATATGCGGATTCACAGCGGGGAAAAGCCGTTCGATTGCTCAATTTGTTTCAAGTCGTTTGCAAGAAACACTGTTCTCCGAAGTCATTCAATGACTCACATCGATGAACTGCCGAATGTTTGTTCGAAATGTGGCCAAAGATTCGTCACTCCAAAAGATAAGCAAACGCATGAATCGGGTTGTCAACGTAAATCGATCAGATGCGCAATTTGCAGCAAACAATTCGTCCGACATGATCAATTAAATCAGCATTTATCATCAAAACACAGCGATCAGTTCCCATTTCAATGCTCCAAGTGTTTCGGAGGATACGCAACCGAAGATGCAAAAGAGGTTCATGAAGACAACTGTGGCTATCGTCAGTATCACTGCCATTTGTGTAAAGAGCATCGTCGAGACAAACAAAATTTGCAGATGCACATGCGAAAACATCACACCGCAGAGATGATTCAATGCAATGTATGTCAATCAAGCTTTACCAAGAAAAGTAGTGCTGATCGACACATGAAAACAGTTCATCGTTTGAAGAAGTGATAAATAAATTATGCATATTTG